GACATGCTCTGGGTGCCCCCATAGCCATCCAGAACCATCTCCCTGACCTAGAAGCACTGTGTTCTCCTATAGAGAACAGTGTTTCTCAGTGTCCAGGGCGCTGTGGAGTAACGGAGACCAGGCTGGATGCGTGGACAGGCCGGTCCACTCTGTACCTCTGGCCTCTCATTCACTGGCATTATCAGCCAGCCAGCCATACAGGGGCTGTGATTTTCAACTGTGGGGTCCACAGAGGAAAAGGGAAAGAAGGGAATCTCCTCTCTGCGAGGCCCCAAGCCGACCACAGTAGTTCCTTTGTCATCTCTTGTATAATTTAGAGTTTCACAGCTCCGAGAGAAAAGTTTGGAAAAGTCCGTCACATGCCACTATCATGTTGTCACAGAATGGGCTGCTCCAGGCAGGCAGCTGTGTCTTTGGGGATGAGTCCATAAGGGTGTCACAGGACAGGAGACTTGCAGGTGAATGCTAGTTCCTGAGGGCTGGGTCACGCTGTGCAGTTTTCCCCAGGCCTTGATTCAACAGAACTGAATGGTGGTCTTAACATGCTACAGCTGGAAGTCTACCTGCTGTCACTTTCACCTGCCTCCACCTTGTGTTGTGGGACTGGCATCAACTGGTTTCATCATAGGGCTTTCTGTGTTTCATCTCTCTGGCATAGGGCTTGGTTTTAAAATGTAAGCAGTGCACATCCGACCCAGAAGCAGGCCTGCCATACCAGAGTCTTCAGGGCGAGGTTAGAGCTGTGTCAAGTGGGTACTCCTTGGAGTGACTCCATGCCAGCCAGGCCCTTCCAGCTCAGCCTCCTAAGAGGAACCTGCGAACCCCCAGGCACTCAGGTCATTTCCCATCTTCCAAAGGGCAGATTGTACATGGTTGTACTTCAACCATGGACTCAAAGAACACAAATTTAGCCCTGGGCAGGCCTCAGGGCTAAAGAAGCAGAGGCCTGCGGAGAGGGGGGTTTGCATGGTCCCAAAGCCAGTGTGGGCAAAGTTCGGACTCGAACCCAGGGTTCAGACTTCATAGCCAGCGCTCCCGCTATCAGTCAGCCTAAAATATAAGGATGACCTTTTTGTGGTATTTTTTGTGCATCACAGAGAGCTATTCACTAGTTCATCTTCCCAGAATAATTAGCAGGACAGGGCCAGAGTCCACAGGAAGACTCCAGGCTGCCCCTGCATGGCCCAGAAGCAGGGATGTGCCTCACCATTGGCTGGGCCTACCTGCTTCCAAAGTCTCAGCAGGCCTGGCCCAGCTCTGGGAGGTGTGTTGAGGTCCTGGGGAGCCTGGGGGAGGTAGTCATGGAGGCCAGGGTGCATCCCACAGTTGTTAAGCCCCAGCTTGAGTATGCTCAGCTCCAAGTGGCTTGCCTTCCTCCTCATTCATCCTTGTTTTGTTGTTGTTGTTGTTTTTGGCAGCACTAGGGTTTGAACTTAAGGCCGCATGCCTGCTGGACAGGAGTGGTTACCACTTGAGCCACCCCACCAGTCCTTTCTTGTGGTAGATTTTTTTCCAGATGGGGGTCTCGGGAATTATTTACCCAGGCTGGCTTTGAACCGCGATCCTCCTGGTCTCTGCCTCCTGAGTAGCTAGGATTACAGGTGTGAGCCACCGACGCCCGGCTGGTAGTAGGAATCTTAGAAAATTCAGACAAGCCAAAAAAAGAAAAGGAAACGCCACCATAGTAAAACCACCTGGCCCTCAGCCTGAGCCATGATGTCCATTCACTGTGCTCTGGACAGGGAGGGGGAAGGGAAAGGGCAGCTGCAGGAGAGCCTGAATTTCTCTCAATCAAAACATGCAGGACACTTGATTTCTAACCTTTTCTTATTTATTGAGCATTTCCCGCATGCGTAATCTTCCTTTATGCCAGCATTTCTTATTATCTATTTACTTATTTATTTATTGCAGAGGGTGAATACTGAGATTGAACTCACAGCCTCAAGCTTGCTAGGCAAGCACTCTACTACTTGAGCCACGCCCCCAGCCCTTTTAGCTTTAGTTTATTTTGAAATGGGGTCTCACTAACTGTTTTGCCTGGGCTGATCTTGAACCACAATCCTTCTATCTCTGCCTCCCAAATATCTGGTATTACAGGTGTGAGCTACCATGCCCAACCTATGCCATGGCATTTTTGTCGGGGATGAAGGACTGCGTCATCTGGCTGTATCAGAACTCCTTTGCCTTCCCCTTGTTATTGGACACAGTCCTACTATTATACACACCAGAGCATGGAACATTCTTGTAGTTCAGTCTGCAGCTCCATCCACAGTGACTTCCACAGCACAGGTTCCTAGATGGGGAGTGCAAGCCCATGTGGCCTTTGTTACACATTCCCCAGGAGGAGCCAAGACTGTAATCAACAGAGCAGTCCATAGAGCCTGTGGCCCGTGATCTGTGGCTTACCTGTGTATTTGCCAGGACTTGGTAGTCCGTGTGTGTTACACAAAACCAATAGGCCTCTGACTCCTTAGCAAAGCTAGTTCATCCAGAACCGCCTGCCAGGGTTAAAGCAAGAGCTAGAGGCCAGGGCGCTCACCTTCAGTTCTCCCTGGCACCCTCCTGACTCCCTGCTGGGGCAAATCGACTCTCAGGGCAGTGGCCACCTCAACTTAAGAGTGTCCCTTGAAACTGTGGGGGGGATCAGGGCACCTGACCAGGAGAAATCACTGTACCTTTCTGGGCCAATGACGAGGGAGAGAGAGTGAAAGGAGGGAAGTGGGATTTTAAACAGGACCCTACTGTACAGGACCACGGTTGGGGATGGTTTTTCTCTGTTCAGCTTGACTACATGCAAATCTTATTGGTTAGTCTGTGGCTCGGCCCTGACCCATTTCCCAAATGAAAGAACTCACACACACACACTTTTTGTGGTGCTTGATTGCAGGGCCTCATACATTCTGAACAGTGCCTCCAACTGAGCCCTAGCCCTCATGAAAGAACACCAGTATCCTGACTATAATTCCCAAGGACCATCTCCCCCATGTGTCCTACCCCAGATGTGTTATGGTGACACATCAGGTTATGGTACTATGACGATAACCTGGGTCCTTTCAGAGAGCAAGACAGAAGACCTTGTGTTCAGAGAAGGCTGTGTGGCCACCTGGGTTACAGTCTTGCCATTCATCCACTCCAGGGCTTTACCCTGATTCTGCTGTGGCACACACCAGCCTGTGCTGGCATCTCTGATAAACAGGCAGCTGGGAAAAAAGCCTACTGACACTTTGATTTGTTGAGGGGTAATTCATTCTTGAGGCAAGTAAACAGCTTGTAAACTCGGGGGTTTACCGCTTTAAGTGATTAAGAAGTGAGCAGCTATAAAACTGGCTGTGTGAGGCTGTGGCTGATTGTCCCCATGGAATTTTCCTGACCAGTGTTTGGAGCTGCTGGATGTTTGCCATGCTTCCTCTGAGTGGGCTCCCCCGCCACACACCGTCTCTCACAGAATGCCTCCTTCCGAGGACTCCAGGGGCATTGATCCTGACGTTCCCTCCTTAACAGGCTCTGCAGTAAATGGTAGATGAGGGCAGGAAACCTCTACCAAAGAGGAGCCATGCTCAGAGACACCCTACCCACCAGACCATCTACCTGGCATAGCAGTGACAGTGTTGTGTGGCTCCTGAAGCCTGGCTGGGGGGCGCATCAGTAGACAAAAACAGCTCCTCGCAAACATAGCCCTCCTCAGTGGCCAAATGCAGGGTCCCACAGAGTCCTAAGAAGGGAGGGCCAGGACAGCAGGTCCTGTCTGTAGAAAAAGGTAAGGAGGTGAGGAGGGCACGTGAGCAGGCTTCCCTGGACCACCCTCTGCACTGGGTTCAGCACCCTGCTTTGTCCAGGGTCAGGTGGGACAGTATTTTAGGCTTTGTAGACCACATGGTCTCTATGGCAACTACTCAGCAACACTGAATGTGAAATCAGTCAGTGTAAACAGTTCCATGACTGTTCTCGTAAAACTTTACTTAACTAACAGGCAGTAGCCATAGTTGCCAACCCCTCCCTGCTCAACACCTGCCACCTTCCTGGGTTCTGAGAAGGTGAGACCAGCCCAGAGGAAGTGTCATCTGGCAGCTGGACTGCCATTTCTGGCCAGTGCAGAGGGCTTGGGGTCTGGGACTGGCTACTGGGAATATGCTCCCTCAGGGAGTGGCCAGGAGGATCAGGCCCCTCTCTGCTGGAAGGAAAACTTGCCCATCCCGGTCCAAACTTGGTCCAGCATCTGAACTAGTCCCCATGGGCCCTGCCCAGCTTTGGGGGTGGAGGCGGTAACAGAAGCAGGGACCATGTGTTCTGCATAAGCCCCTGGGGTTGTTGTTGATGAAGTGTTTGTTCCACGGGAGTTTTTTGTGGGAGAGCACATGTGAAAGGAGAGAAGTCCTTGTCCACAGGAAAGCCCACATCCTAGGAAAGGACCTGGCTGAACAACGAGCTGAGGTTTATCGTGGAGAACACATTTGTAGAGCACTCACCACGTGCCCGACCTGTGCTGGCCCTGCTAAGAAGTCTGTTTATCCCCACCGTGGTGCGGTTATGAAGTGGGCAGTAGGACCCCAGCTTGCCCTAGAACCACAAGGGCAGAGCGGGTATCTGGCAGGCAGGGTCAGACTCTTCTCCTACCCAGGGCGACTTCCTGGAATGGGCCTGGCACCCTCCCTTTGGCAGAGTGTAGAATCTTAGAAGCCTAAGATTCTGACGATGCTGGCCTCAGTGTGGGGACTTTGCCGGGAGCCCTAGAAACCCCAACACCAATTGTTCCTTCAAGGGCACAGTGGCCACTGCTGAGCCAGCACCTGGCCCAGGCCCTTCCTGGCCCCAAAGCTGGCTGTGCTCTTGAAGGAACTTCACATGTGTACAGGTCAGTCCTTGGCCAGTGGGGTCAGCTCATTCCTGGGAACAGACCAGAGCTCTCAGGGAGGAGGGATAGGGTTGTTCAGGGCCCTTGGCATTGAGGTGCTGGCCTGCAGTGTTCTCCACTCCATCACACACACACTCTTGTCTTGCAGGCTTCGCCGTGGCCCAGTGCATAAACCAGCACAGCTTGCCGTCCCTGTCTTCGTCATCACCACCGACCACCAGCAGTGAGAGTACCAGCCACTGCGACTCTGGGGGCTCATCCTCCACACCTTCTGCAGCCCAGAGTCCTGCAGGTATGGGCGTGTGACTCAGTGGGAGGGCTTTGGAGAACCCTGCGACCCCTTACTTCCACTGCGGCCTTTGACCCCCAGCTCCTCCTCATCACAGTTTCTGAACACAGTAGTGGTCTGCATGCCCACAAAGCAGGTGTCACCCAGGGGCCAGTGTGACTCCTGTCTCAGGCTGGTCCACTGCTGGGCCACCCAGACTATAGTGCTGAAGGGACCGAGCACCAGGTCAGCCCAGCCCCAACCGACCTGTCACCGCCTCCAGAGGCTCAGGTGTCACCAGGAGGTGTCTCCCAGAGGCAACTGTTTGAACCTAAGAAAGGAACCACAACCCCACTAATTTCCCCCAACATACCAGTTTCTTCTCTCAGTGCTTGGTGCAGTCCTATTGTCCCATAGGGACACCTTTGGGAGTTTGTCAGGATGTGATGTGGTTGCATCTTGCTGTTCTTTAACTTTGGCACAGAGAGAATCCATGAGCCCTGGAGTCAGCCTGGACCAGCACATGCGAACACACCCAAGTTCCCCACCCCACCCCAGGCCCACCTTAGCTGCTATGCTGCACCGGCTCCCAGAGAACAAACACTCCAAGTTCTCGAACAGCATGGCCCCAGTGCAGCCAGAGGAGCAGGGCTCAGGCAGGGACAGGCTTTAATGCTTCCAGCTGGTGTAGGACTTCATGCCCCAGGGGTCTAGAGGGCCCTGGTGACTCTGGTCTGCATTTGGTGGTCCTCTCTATTTCTGCATGGTCTAACCAGAGCCCTCTCTCATCGTGTCTCAGGGCCCCTTACCCATCACTCTTTCAGTGGTGGAGTGAGGGATAGTGACGAGGCATACGGAAGGGCACAGCCCATGCTACCATCCCTGAGTGCCAAGGGCCGAGAGTTTCCCGGGTGCCACATAGGTCTCTCTGGTGTTTTCAGCTTTTACATTCCTAACAGAGGGTTAAGCCAGCCTGGCGCCCATGCCTACGCCACCCCAGTCCACCCCTGCCTCCCCCCACAAAGCACCTCTTACCCATCTCCTATTGTCATGGGGCCCAGCAGAGAAGTCCTCTCAGCCACCTCACTGGGACCCTCCTCCACTCAGCATCTGCTGTTCCTCCTGCCCCAGGTTGGGAGAGGTAGCTGTAGCTCCAAGTGATTACCACCGCCACTCCCGGGCTCATGGCTGGAATTCAGTCAGAGCGTCCTTCAGACACCAAGACAGCCCTTGGGTCCCTCCTAATACTGTCCTCATATTTGTCCCTGGTCAGACATGCAGGGCTATGTCCATGTGCTCAAGTGCACACACCTGGTGTTGCATGTTTATTTCTGTGTCTGTGTGTACACCCAAACACACATTTCCAGTTGCTCCTGGGTGAAAGTTCTCTCCCCACGCAGCAGTGCCTACCTATCTTCCATTTTTTTAGGAGACACAGCCAACAGCTAAGTGAGCAAATGAGCTGGCACTTCTTTGCCTAAAACCAAAGCCAGCAAAGACCCACAGTATCTAAATGAGCCACATCTGCATGTGTGGCTCATTTAGATACATGACAGGGGGTTCGCCGCTGCACCTCCCCCAGACTCACATCTGCAGTATGCACTACCTTCCTTTTCCTTGGCCTTCCTCAGCCCCTCTGTCCCCCTCTCACCATTCCTTGCAGCGTGCCAAACGTGTATTCTCGCAAATCCAGGGGCTATTCACTGGGCTGTCAGGTGGCCAGGCAGTTCCAGGAGATAAGTGATAGTCAGAACCTCCAAGGTGTCTACCCCCATTCAGTGAATCCCCAGCAGGCTGCAGAGGCAAGCCTACAGGCCCCATTTTTAATGCCTCATGACAGTAAAAGCCTAAGGCCTGCTGCCTGTCTGACTCTGAAGCTCTTAGATAAAACTCACCTCCCAACAAAGGGCCGGCCTGGCGGGCAGCTCACACTCCACTTGCACAGAGAACAGCTGCCCTGGGATGCAGCTATTGATCCCTGGAAGGAGAGAGCATTGCTGTGAACTAGCTCCTCCTGCCAGTCCATGCAGAACAAAGTGTGTGTGTGTGTGTGTGTGTGTGTGTGTGTGTGTGTGTGTGTGTGAAGCTCCTCCTGCCAGTCCATGCATGCAGAACAAAGTGTGTGTGTGTGTGTGTGTCCCCACAGGGGCAGGTCTGACCTGATGGTTCCAGTATCTGCCTGGTACCCTACCAAACTGCTAGAGGGAGAGCTCAGGCTAGAGGAAGGGATAAGAGCCCTCTGCCAGTGGCCTGGCTTGATGTTAGCTCTGCGTAGTGGCCCAGTGTTTAGGCTTCTGATCAGAGAAGGCTCCCCCACACGACCGCCTGGCCAGACTTCCCACCGCTTCAGCTAGAAGTGACATCCTTGGACACCATCCTTGCAACAGCCAAGCAACAGGATGGGCTGGAGGGTGCCTCTCCCCAGCCCCAGCCCATCCACCCCACCACCCGCTACTCAGGCTGGATAGCTGCGGCCCTGCCAAGGGGCCACTTGTCCTCAAATGGTTTTTTTGTTTTTGTGGTAGTACTGGGGTTTGAACTCAACTCAGGTCCTCATGCTTGCCAGGGAGTCACTTTACCACTTGAGCCACCCCACCAGTCCTTCAAAGTGTTTTTTGAGGGCACAGTGCCACATCAGGAGCATTCCTGACCCTGTGTTTATAGCATCCAGGGTTCAGGAAACTCCCTTGTGTAGACAGCAGCACCAGGCCCTTTGGAACCAGAACTGGCAAAGCTCAGAGGCTCCTTTGCCCCTCAGGTCACACTTTGTATGATCAGGTGTTTGGTTAGGAGAGTGCACAATCAATGTCTTCCACTCTTGATGAGACGCCCAGTTTCCCTTCTATGGCTCTGCCCTGTGGTTCTGAACACTTAAATTGTACAAGGTGTCGTTAACAGCTAGGGGTGTGACAAAAACCCGGTTAAGTGGGAGGATGAGGGTCTACCGCTGCGTAGCACAGCAGGGAAGTCACAGCTCCCAGAAACTCATTGTGGGAGTGTATGAGACTGTGGACATGCTCATGACCCTGAGTGGATGATCACGGTCTGTACACGTGTGCCAACATACCACACTGTGTCCCATAAGTATGTACAATTGTGTGTCAACCTGAAATTCCTTTAAAAAAATCTAAGGAGCTAGGGTGACCCTCACATTCCTCTAGCGGTTCTCATGGCCTGGGCCCAGCCACTCTGCAGTCTTCCTAGTCTGCACGCTGCACAGCGCCCCAGTAGGCACCACTTCCAAAACTGAGCCCACCTCATGGTGCCTGGCACTATGCACTTCACAGACACACCCCACACCCACTGGACAGTTGAACACGCAGGAACTCAGAAAGGCCATGCAACTTGTCCAAGGTGACACAGCTAGCAAGCAGGGAAGTCTGAATTTGGCCCTGCGTTTGGCAACTCCAAAGTCGTGCTGCACCTTCTGGAACAACCCAGCAGCAAATATGGTTCTTGAGTCTCTGGGATTTCCAAGTGGTGTCCCAGAGACCTAGCCTTGGTTTGGATTCTGGCTGAAGCAGCCCATGAAGCACAGCTGTCTTTCCAACAGCCCCCTGCCAGTCCCACCAGAAAGCCTCAACCCCACCCGTAAAGGCCAGGGAACTAGTACAGCCTCAGGCGCCTGGCCTGTGTGGGCCCCTGTCAGACGAAGACCCGGTGATCCCCTAAATCAACATCACAGTGGACTCCCGGTGGCCATGCTTCCTCTGCAGCCTGAGTAGGTTTATCCCCAGGTTAGAGGGTAAACCCACTGATGCTCGGCGGGGTTACCTGCCTCAAATCTGTCCAGTTCGGGAGCCTCACACTTCCTTCCTGGCTCTGAAAGAGGCCCATGTCTCTCCCTAACTGATGTTCTCAACCTCCCACTGGGCCTCCAACCTGAGTTCCCAGGCTGCCACTCTTAGTTCTGGGGACTTGAGACCTGAGCCAAGAGGTCCCTCCAGCAGCCTGGCCCTTGCGTGGCTTCTCATTCCCTTAGCAGCTTGTCTCCCTGCACTTTCTCCACCTCCAGCTTGGGTGTCCCCTGACACACACACACACACACACACACACACACACACACACCACCCATTGTATTATCTTGCTCTAAGCAGGCAAGCTTGCATTGCGTCCCTGCAGTGCACAAGCATTAGGGACACAGGTAGCAAAGCAAGGTCTCACAGACCTTGATCAGGAGCACTGAGGCCCATCAGTTACCACAGGACCTGTATACTTGGCAACAACAAGGGGGCCATGCCAGGGCTCTATCCAACAGCACAGAACAACCATGGGGAGGGCAGTGACTGATGCCACCAGAGCCTGACCCTCTGTTTGGTTGGAGGCAAATGGAATCCTTTCCCCATCTCCCTGCAGACTCTGTCCTTCCCAGCAGCCTGGGAAGCAGGCATTCTTTAAGAAATGGGCCTCTTCCTATCAGGACCAAGGCCTCTGGCCCAACCATAACCTCAGACCTGCAGACCTATCACAGGCCCCTCAGCCAGAACGGGAGGTGACATACTGAGGGGCCACAGGCTTGCTGGTGACCCAGAGACCACCTCTGTGCCAGCAGTGCCTGCTTCTGTGTCCCCTCTACACACCAGAGACAGAACTGTGGATGCTCTTGATAGCTCTTCAATAAGTGTTCAAATGGGGAGATGGGGCAAAAGATACCCCAAACCGAGGGGAGAGCCCAAAGCTAAATTTCCTGACAACCCAAGGAGCCAACCAGAGATGACTGGCAGGGAACGGATTTTATTTCATTGTCAGCTCACCTGTCAAAGCTGTGCCAAGGGGGACTTTTGTGGCGGGCTTTCATACCCCTATACCAGTTGGTCTGTTTGCCTACCTGCCCTTCTGTCCATTTTGGAGCTTGTTAGGCTGCTGGCAAAGGCTTACAAGAAGAAAGAATGGGCTCGTTCCTGGGGATGGCCTGGCATTGGGAGCCTCTGCATCCTCCCTCCCATCCTCACCCCCTCTCTATGCCCCTTGTTTGAACACACCCCCTTCTCCCCGGCTCACCTCCCAGTTGAGCCAAATGGAGCCAGACAGCCCAAGACTGGTCTGCACATCACTGAACTCAACCATTCCAGCCCAGCAGGACTTTAAGAACAGAGACTCCACTTTTCTCTATGGCACCATTATTTTTATTGTGGTAAAGTATGCATAGCAGAGCAAGTGTCATCTTGGCCATTTTCAGTGTGAAGCCATGGCACTGAAGCATGCTCCCATCGTGCTCCTCGGCACTACTTTGAGTTTCTCTTGTATCCTGAGTTTGTCTCTGAGACTGTGGACCCCCACTCTGCAACTCCCCCTCTGATACTCCTGAGATTAGCGCCCACCCTTGGCCACCATGCACGTGGTCTCAGCTTCAGACCTGCTTTCCAAGGTGTGGGGGTCACCAGTTGTTCCTGGAGAGTGATAGATACCCTGTGGCTGGAGGCCGGGCAGCGTGTACCTCAAGCATCGAGGCTTTCCCGGAACTCACCAACCATGTGCTGGCTGGAGCAAAGGCTGACACTGAGTGCTGTCACCCCGTGTGCCAGGGTCAGAAACCCGCTGGATTTACTTAGGTGGTTTGGCTCTGGTCCTCAGCCTGTCCTGGGAGGCAGGGCCTTCAGTTCTTTACCGCTGGCCCCAGCTAAAACACACGGTCAGTTTTGTTCTTCTGTCCCCTGAGTTTTCTAACCGACTAGATGTTGCTGATGACCCAAGTCTTTCCTTTCTTCCAGGATTGGACCTTCTCTGTCTTTATCTCTCCCGATCCTGCCTCATCCTGGGGGGATGGTGCGGGGGTGTCCTTTCTGCATGGGGGGCTGGCACTCCTCCTACCAGCTGCCAGGAGCCCTCGCTCTTGTTGATGCTTCGCGTCCGTCACTGCTCTGTGTCCCTCTCTCCATGTCACCATCACTGTTCCATTGTTAAAGGCTTTCTATGATCTGTCGCTGTGTTTTCCCTCTAGTCAGGAATGGCAGGAAAGGACGCCGGCGCGTGTTCAGCCTGTCGGAGGCCGACAGTCATGGTGGCCACTGGGTTTAGTGCTTGGAACGGCAGCTGCCCCAGCAACTCGCGCACAATCAATTCAGGCAGGTCTCCTCCAGGAACCCCCACCGCCGGGCCCACGACGTCCCTGCCACACTCAGCAGGGTCTGAACAACAAGGAGACAGGCTGGACTGAGAGGACGCCAGGCCATGCGGGAGCCTCTGACATCAGCATTTCCTCAGCTTCCCCGCAAACCCGGCTCTCCCCATGCCCTTTCTGTCCTCATCCAAATCCCCAGCCTTTGGCCGTCATGTCAGCTCTTCCTCTGCAGCCTGGAAACACTGTCTTCGTCCTGAGATACCACCCAGTGTCAGGCTCGGCAAGGCCGCCCCAGACCTGAGCTGGAGTCAGAGTGTCCCCAGGCATCCCCAAGGTCCCTTAGTTTAGGTCATGGGGACTGACTAAGGCTTGGGCAGCCGTTGGCTGGAGAATTAAGTATTTGTAAAGTCACCTTGCTTCTTTTTTTCCCCTGGCCTTGTCCAAAGCTAAGTGGCAAATTCAGTCACAAGAGGCCATAAATCATTTCCCTTATAAACATATCCACGAGTGGGACCCACTGCCTTGCATTTAACGCTCACACTCAGTGTCACGGGCAGTGCTGGTCAGGGGCACTGCCTAGCAACCAGCTCACTTTGTCAGGGCCCACCGCTGCTTCCTTCTTCTGTGCCATTTCTCCTGTGGTTTCTGCTGTTTCTTCTCCAGTGGCAGTTGCACTTGTCACGGAGCCTTCTGCCTTGTTTTTCGTTTACGGCCATCCCTCTGAGCTTTGCCCCATCTCCTCCTCTTCCCCCAGCACTTGCTCAGCCTTTCCCAGCCCCTGCACAGCAAACCCACATCTTTACTGGAAGCCACCATTCACTTGACAGGGATCAGTTGAGGCCCTGCTCCAAAGCTGCACATGGGCTAGAGAGGGCGTCGGCTAGGGAGGATGGGCCCCACGTCGGTGTCCTCACAGGCCGGAGGCCTCAGAGGCCCATTCACCACTCACAGACTTGCTGGATTCCCACATGGCCTTGGCGCTGCTCCCCAGCCCATGGCCAGGAAGGCGGACGTCTCCAAAGCCCTCATCTCCTGGGCCTGACTCATGGCCTTTGAGCCCAAAACCCCCAGCATGCTAGTGACACCACAGGTCCAACGATAACCTTTGCAGCTCAGCCATGACCAGAAAACGTGACCTTGCTGAGTAACTTTCCCGGGTGAAAACCTGGCGTGGTTCTCCCTTCTCCCCCTCCCTGGACTGGATGACTTTGTAGCTTGTCTTCAGGAAGCAGTTCTTAGCAGTTCAAAAGGCAGTGTCCTAGAGGTAAGGGCACCCAAGAGGGGCTTGGTTTTCCTCTTAATACAAATGCAGGTATTTGTAAAGGAAAAGCCAACCCTTTTAACAGAAATTGTTGGTTTTTTTCCTAAAGAAGAAAGCACTGTTTGGTAGTTGATTTGTCTACAGCCACCCACATCCTTGACTGTTCTCATCACCAAAGCCCCTGGGAGCAGGGATGGAGCTTTTCCAGCTTCTGGAATGTCTGCCTTGAAGGCGCTGCTTTGAGCAAAGAAGGAACTCTTGCCTGGAAGTTTTGAGAACACCTGAAAGAAATGGTTTTGCCCCTCTATCCCTAGCCAGCAGACAGCACCACTTAGAGAATTAGTCAGCTCCCAGCTGCCTCCTTCGCAGCTAAGCTCACTTGTGGATCCCTCTGTGTAGAAGGTCCCAGCTAGGCCACACCCACTGGGAGTGAAAGCCAAGTGGGGAGCCAGATGAGCCCCTGAGAGTCCACCTTCTGTGCACAGGCAGATTGTGCAAGGTCAGGACGGGGCCGAGCCAAAGCTCGCCCAGCTCACAGGCAGCCTTTCAGCAGAGCAAGACAGCTGAAAGTCAGAGAAACCAGAGTTCGTGAGTAGCAGGAACTGAGTGTTTTGGGGGCTCAGATGGCACCTGCGTCACATTTCCAGCAGTTCCCACTGGCTCCCTGGTCCCCAGACCCACGCAGTGACAGTGGTTCTCTCTGGACCCTCTCTCTCACTCACTCCTCCCCTCTATTGGTTCTGTAAAGAAAGGGCAGGCTGGGGCTGTAGCTCAGGCATAGACCTCTCACCTAACTAGAAGCATGAGGCCCTAGGTTCCATCCAGCTCTCCCAAAGAAACCAGCCAGACAAGGCCTGAGGTGGAAATGAATTGGGCCCATTCACAGCTCACTGGGTCGGAGCCAGGGCAGTGCGTGCAGGGGATGTTGGGGGGTCGTCTCTGCTTTTCCTTTTCCTTGGGGGTCTCCTCCTCACCCTCATACAGTCTTCACCCTATTTGCTTTGAGTTTTCTCTGCGCTCTTCCATTCTTTTGCTGTGTGTTCAGTTTGCCTTTCTGTTTTATTTTGGCTTAAAAGAGTGAAGAAAAACTAACTCAACCAGAATCACAGTAAACAAAACAAAACTAAAACAATGCCTCCCATCTTCCCCGGCCACGCAGCATAGTCAGCACCTTCCAAGCCCAAGACACGTAGGAATATGCCATCAAAGCAGGGTGCCCACCACCCCTCCTCAGGCTCTGAAAATGCCCAGCCTCCGTCCAGTCTCTTCTGGTGTCTATACAGGCCAGCTCATCATTGAAAAATAATGGGACACCATTTGTCTGCCATTTACTTAAGGGTTTTGAAAAGTGCTAAAACCAAACACCAAACTGCACAAAACACCCACCCCTGCCACTCTACCAATACCTGCCATCAGGTATTTTCATGGTCCCTCCCCAGGGCCCCTTTGGGGAAGTCAGATAATAGGGGCCAGGTGACCCTGCCCCCTTGCTGGATGCAAGCTTGGCACTTGGAGAAAGAGACAAGGCACAATCCAAGGCTTTGTAAGCTGGAAAGTTCCATAGAAATTCCTGTTCTTTTTTTTTTTTTTTTGCTATCGCTGAGGGTTTCCTCTTGGATAAGTGTCACCGTTGCCCTTCTGAGTCACAAATTCATCAGGCAGCCAGTCCAGACTGGCCCAGCCAGAAAGCCAGGTCTCTGCACCCAGAAACCGTGCTCTCATAAACCACAAGCTATTTTACACAAGCCCCCATTTTCCCCTGGTATCATGGGCCCTGACACACTTTCCCCAGGCCTAAGTAAAACTGGATTTAGCAGTGTCTGTGGAGCCAGGCCACAACCTCCCACTCAGACTTCCCAGGGCCTCAGTTTGGGACTGAAAGCGGAGGGTACCAGCCTGACCACCAGCCAGGGCTAAATGGGCTCCTGTTTTTTTTTTCTCCCCCACCTAGACGCCCCCACAACTCTGGAACAGCCTCAGCCTCACCTGCCTGACCAGTTGGTGATCATCAATGAAACGGAAGCAGACCCCAAGCCCAGCAAGAACTCAGCCAGGGGCGCAGAGGTGGAGACTGTACACTTGTCCCCCAGTCTCCTCCCCGCCCAGCAGCCCACCATCTCCCTGCTCTATGAGGATACTGCCGACACACTTAGCGTCGAGTCGCTGACCCTGGTTCCCCCAGTCGACCCCCACAGCCTCCGCACTCTCACAGGTGTCTCCCAGGCCCCCACCCCAGCCACACCATGCATAGAGACCCCGGATGAGGAGGCTGCCCACGTGGAGCCTACGGGCCCCACTGAGCACTGAGGAGTGCCAGGGCCTCCTTTGTGCGTGTAGCCCACTGGCAGGGACCCCAATGTTGATGGAGAGCCATCCGGAGCACCCCAGTTCTCCACGGCCCAGCACCACCTCCACACCTGTGCCTGCGTTTCTGTGATCAGAAGACACCCGCGCTCCACATGAATTCCTTTTTCACTTGGTACATCTTTGAGAGCAGGCCGGGACCCACAGAGACGCCCAGTGGGTGCAGATGACAGCAATGGCTGCTCAGGGAGGAGGCTGCGCTCCTTGGCTCTGCCTGGCAATAGGCAGCAGGACCCACTGGTGCCCTCCCTTCCTTTGGGCAGCTCCTCTGCACCATTCCCAGTGTGCACAGATTGGACAAAGTCACTGTGGGTTAGAGGTTTGTAGAACAGTGAACTTAGATAAATTTCCTTTGGCTATTTATTTCTGTTTTTGGTAGTGGAAGAAAATCTTTTATTTAAAAAGCATCTATTTGGGGGGGTGAAGCCACGAAAATCCTCAGTCCCATGGTTTAATGTCATCAAAAGCATCGGATCCTGGCTAGGCCGCCTTTCCCTTTCCCTTGAGCCTCTCAGTGCTTCGTTTTCGAGTTCTCAGTGTCACTTTCTCGGTTTTCTTAACTGATTCTTTCTCTGTTACTAACTCTGTAAGCCTGTGGAACGATAAAGTCCCTTCCTGGAAAGTTTAGATTATTTTTAAACAGAAATGAAGTACCCTCTGGTCACATGGAGTGAGAGGCCGCAGCTGCTCCCCACTCAGGACACCCTTCCCACCTCTCCTAGCACCGTGCAGGAACAGAGACAGGGACGGGCTTTCAGCACCATCCTCCACACTTGCTGTCTGCGTCTATCTGAGAAAGAACCATCTGGGGCTGAGAAGACCCCAGACCCAGTGGCCATGACAAGAATTAAAAGCAAGGGAAGCCATCCTCAGTGTTGCCAGCTGCCCACTGTGTGTGGGAGCCTCAGCCACAAGCCAGGCATCCCAAAAGCACCCACGTCTGTCCCCTGTCCTGTCAGCTGCTGCCACTACAGTGCAAGCTTGTCTCAAAACAAAAACCCCACTGTTCCCCGGGCATGTGCACATGAGGACTCAGATATGTCCCACACAGCTGCATGGCTTTCCTCTCCACTCAGCTAGCTCAGGTGCCACCCCTTGCCTTGGCTCCACAGCAGACCTGCATGGCTTTCCTGCAGACGTGGCCCTGGGAGACACCTCACCATCTGCCTGTAGAGGAGCATAGCCCTTGCCACCACTACCTAACCAGCCTTCTTGCAGGGCCCACCAAGGCTGGAGCTCAGTTTCCAGGAGAGGGAGCAGAGTCCTCCAGTGCTGGTGCCCAGCCAGCTTTCACCATCATAGGCACAAGGACTGCTTCTCACAGAGCAGACCATGTCGAGAAGAGAGGCCATACTGCAGGCGGAAATCCTAAGAGCCAAGAAGGGAAAGCCGTGGCCATCAGCAGAGCCCCTGGGAAGGGGAGGAAGCTAGAGTTGGGAGAAGGGAAAAGATGGCCATTGGGGAGGAGGTCCATACCACCTGGACATGGGGGCTGATCTTTCAGAGGGAGAGGTGGCCATAGGAACAAGAGCAGGTGAGTGACTTCCCACCTGTGGCCTGTGAGAGGTGAGCCTGTGGCAGGCCCAGGTCCTCCAGGGACCCCCCATCTGCTGTCCAAAATCCAGTGGCTCCAACTGGCCTTGTAGCCACCAAACACTTCAGGAAAGGTCCTGGGTGAGTGTGCAGCCAACCCTGGAGGACCGGCTGTTGAATAAAAGGCACCAGGCATCAGATCTACCTTACGCCCTGGTCCAAGAATAGGCCTATCCCCCAGCTGGGCTTACCAGGTCATTCCGAGGGGCTTCCTTCGGCTGGGGGCTGGCAGCTCACTTCTGCAGGATATGCCCAGGTGAGTAGGGCTCCCTGCCACGTCCTCAGGCCAGGAGCTCAGTAGCCTGGAGAAGGCAGCTGGTCCTCGTGGACCCACCTCATCCAGGTCTTGGCTATGCTGGTACAGGGGTCACTGCTGAGTCTTTGGGAGCACCGCACAAACCTAATAGCTGGGCCCTCCAGCCAGGCCTGTCCCCACAGAACACACTGGATCCTGGCAGTGATGGCGGGAGGTATAGCCAGGGGTCTGGGGAAGCCCACAAGCTTGGTCGTGGCCTCTGACCACAGGTTATAGGGGCAAGGTGAGCTCCCAAGATGGAGGGGTGGCAGCAGAGCCAGAGTGGAGCTGGGGGAGTGTCCCCCAGAACAGGCCCACCTGGCTGCTCTCTGCAGAACACAGTCCCCCACTACCCAAACACGGTACTAGGCGCTCCAGGGAATGGGGACAAAATGCACCTCCTAGGGACAGATACAGGGTTTCTCTGTGGTCTCTGAGGTACACTGTTTTCAGACCCAGTGAACAGGTTCTGATCTTTCCTAGATGCAATAAATGTGAAATGTTTCATGCAGTCACGTTGACAGTGGATATGAACTTCAGAGTTCCTTCTGTTCCTTTGAACTGAAAACTTGTGAATATCTGGTCCCAAATAGGAGCTGGGGTGGGAAAACTCTGTGCTCTGACCGTCCTAGGGAAGTACCTGCTTTGGCCCACGTGACTCATTCTTCATGGGTACTGAACACAAGGGTGGAAATGAAAAAATGGAACTTCCGTGTAAATTTGAACTTGGCAATAAAAGAGGAAAAAAATTACCAAGAGTGTGGCCTGCTGGTCCTTGGGGGAGGTCATGGCCTGGCAAAGGAAAACGTCCTGGGCGCTGACCCCTTATCCTGTTGTGATTACCCTCCTCTGCCTCCACTCTTGGCTTGCAGGAGGTTGGAGCAGCGGGTTCTGCTCCAAGGCTGGGACAATGCCCCGGGGGCACTCAGGGCCCTTCAGGAAGGGCCCGCCCTTGCCAGGGGCAGGGAGCTTGGTCCTGTTCTGCTGGGCACGGGCTCCCCCATCAGAGTCTCAGTTTCTGTGTCTATGGGATGGGACGTCACCAGCAGCTGCACTGCGGCTGTGATGTGCTACGGGGAGGAGGTGGGCTCTCGCGGAGGACCGCCCACCCAGAACAGCATAAGGGACAGGCTGGGGCAGGCGCAGCTCTTAGCCAGCAGAAACCGTGGAAATCCCTGGAAACAGAACAGAAGATTTTCCCTCTTTTGATATTGTGGCCCAGGAACTGCTGGGAACTCCTGCTGCATCTTGAGAGCCCAAAAGAACGAGCAAGGCCCCCTCCTCAAGGGTTGAGGTGATGCTGAGGCGAGAAGGAAGCCGCCACCAAGGACAGGGTTGCCATCCCTGCCTCAGCCACCTTTGCAGTGTTGGCCACCAGGGTCCCTTCCCCTGCTGGCCCTGAACTGTCTCAGTTCTCAGAAGTCTGGCCACAAGGCCTGGGCCCACAGAGGCTCCAGGGTCCCTTGGGTTGAGCTGAAGCCTGCTCTGCCCTGGGGCCTGGTTTCCACTAGCTATGGCTACAGGTGGCTGACCTGGGGTCCAGGGCCCCACCTCAACCTCCTGTGCCCCCACAGCAGCCCTGCTTTAAGCACATGGGCTGCATTCACATGTCTCAAGGACTTTAATCCAGAAAAGGTAACTTGCTGGCAGGAAGCCAGGGAGGCGTGGCGGATGCCGGGGTGGGCCGAGCAGGGGACCGCAGCAGTTGAGGGTTGGGCTGCCTCCCTGCCCATCCCAGGTCGCCAAGCCCGGGCCGGGCCTGGAGCACTGATGGGGAAGGAAGGAGCCCTTGCCTGCGTGCTCTGGGCTGCCCTGACAGCCCCACTGCTGTGTGAATGTCCTTGAGACACTGGAATCAGCTGGAACTTGAGTCCATACCCCAGGTGGAGCCAGGGCACCCCCAACCACGATGATCCTAGCTGGAGACCCTTTGCACAGCCCTGGGTACGGAGTAGGTGCTCGATAATGGCACTGTCCTGCCTGTCTTTTCATTGGGAGCCAAGTATGGAGCCAGCATCTGCCTAGTTTGACTTCCTGCTGTTTCCCTTGCCCGCATGTGACCTGGACCAGGTCCCCTCTGTGCTGGGTCTTGCCTGTCGGTAAAGTGACACTTACAGTCAGCACCAGCCTCTGAGGTTCTTGGGGCTTGTGCGGGTGAAATGCCAGCTCAGGGTGGCCTAGGAGGCTTTTGCAATGGTTTCTCCCGCCTGCTTTCCCACCCCTAGAGTTAGGATCTGGAATGTCCCCCAAAGGTCCCTGGGTTCAATGCTTTGTCCCTATGTGGGGCTTTCGGGAGGTGGTGGACCCCCTAAGAGGCGGGACCTAGCGGGAGGTCTGTAAGTCCCCGGGGGCATTCCCATGAAGGGGGTAAAGGAGAGCTGGGACCCCAGCTCCCTCCTCTCCTCTCCTTTTGTTCTGTGCCATGAGGTGACTCCAGCGGTGATGGGCCACCAAAGGCCCAAAGCAGCAGCTGGGCCAGCGGGGTGTGGACTGAACTCTCCAAGAGTGAGGCAAAAGAAAACTTTTCTCTTTATAAGTTGATTGTCTCCGGTGTTTGTTACAGTAACAGAAACCAGGTTCTCACTCAGGAGTCACTTGAGGCTTCTTTGGTGGCTGGTGACCATCACTTCGCCTCTGCGAGTCTCCAGCTCTCCTGTTGTGCACCCTTCTCCCCAGACTGGAAGTGACCCACTGTAGAGCAGTCACTGTCACTGTCTCCCCGGGGCCTCGTGAGAGTCTCTCTGGAGGAGACCTGAGGCAAGGCCTGGCGGGGTCTGTCCCAGTGCATCCTGATGGCACCAGGCGGGAGGGGCAGGTGAGGGCAGGTGGTGGCGTCCTGCCTGCCAGCATCCTCGGGTCCCGCACTGGAGGGGAAGACTGATTCCCGGCCAGCCGACTGCTGGAAACCCCCTCCTGTCCTCCTTCACGGCACTTCAGGGCAGCGGGGAAAGCCCTCAAGGTCTAACGTGCTTTTCCCCAAAGGAAGAAGGGCTCTGAATCACTGGACACACATGGGGCTTCCCGGGAACTCACTGGGGTGCAATGGCTGAGAGGAGGCAGCTCCTCTGTGCTCAGCAGGCCCTGGGGCTCCAGCCCTGCCCTGCTCACCGCTTTACCACCTGGCGCCTCACCCCCATCCAGAACCCACAGCTGCCTGTCCTGGGGGCACCCCTTAGCCCAGCTGGTCTGACCTCTGCCCCTCCTCCCACTCAGCCTGGTTTCCTCAGAGGGCAGCTGTACCCTCCCAACACACCTGCCTGCCAAACACCTGAGCTGTCCTTTACTCGAGTCTGGACTCACTTTTTTTCTTTTTTCTTTTTTTTTTTTTTTTATGGTACTGAGGTTTGAACTTAGGGCTAAGGTGCTCTTACCACTTGAGCCACACCCCTAGGCCTTTTTGCTTTCGTTATTTTTCAAACAGGGTCTTGAACTTTTGCCCCAGGCCAGCCTCAGACCTCAATCCTCCTACCCACGGCCTCCCGAGTAGCTGGGATAACAGTGTATATGCCACCACACAAGGCTTGTTCTTTGAGATGGTATCTCACTAACTTTTTGCCGAGGCTAGGCTCAAGCCTCCATTCTCCTGATCTCTGCCTCTGTAACTGGGATTACAGGCATGAGCCACTGAGCTGGATGGGCCCACCTTTTAAGTTCAGTGTACTTAGGAGGGAGATTTGGCTGCTTAAAACAGAGAGCCAGTGCACGGCTCCCTTGCCTCCTAGGCTGCCTGACACACATTCACCGGCAGAGTGGCTTCAACAGCTCTAGAGGCCAGAAGTGCAAACTCAAGGTCAGCACAGCCACTTCTGCCTGAAGGCCAACAGAAAACCTGAACCATGCCTGTCTCTTAGTCTCTGTGGCTCCAGCAATCCTTATTATTATTATTATTATTATGATTACTATTCATTTATTCACATGTGTGTACATTGTTTGAGTCATTTCTCCCTCCTGCCCCCACCCCTACCCTCTTCCAGCAATCCTTGACATCCTTGTGGGTGTGCCAGTCTGCTCTGTGCCTCCATGGCACCTGGGTTCTTCCCAGGGCCTCCATGTCTGTCTCCCTCTCCTTTCTCTAAGACACCAGTCATGCAACTTACAGCCCGCCCTGATCCAGGAGATCGTGTGATAAGATCCCGCCTTGATGGACTTTTGCAAAGAGTCTGTTTCCAAATATAGTCACATTCACGGGCACCAGGAATTAGCGTGTGGGCATCTTTTTAAGAGGGTCGTCAGTCAACTCATTACACCTATCAGAAATGAAAGGTACCATAAAAATACGCATAATAAAAGCAAGCCCCTATAATTAAGTCTAATCAGGTTCCATGCCATGCCTGGCCAGGGCTGGCCCTCTGTTTAAAGGGGACAGCAACTAGGATAGACGCCTCTTTGCAGCTCACCATCACCTCTGTGAGAGATCAGAAGGGCTGACAGCAGACAAACAGCCTGCTGTGGACTAAGGTACATCTGGGTCTTCGTGCCCCTAGAAGTCATCTTGGAGCCAGGCACTGGTGGCTCACGCCTGTAATCCTAGCTACTCGGGAGGCAGAGATCAGAAGGATCACAGTTTGAGGCCAACCCCAGGCAAATAGTTAGTGAGACCCTATCTCAAAAAAAAGTCACAAAATGGGGCTGATAGAGTGGCTGTAGAGATAAGAGCACCTGCCTAGCAAGTGGGAGGCCCTGAGTTTGAACCCCAGTGCCAAAACAAAAGTCATCTTTGGACCACCAGGCAGTGCCATTGCACACACAGGTCACATATTGCAGTCTGATATAAGCTGTATGATTTCATTTTTTGTTTTGATTTTTGGCTGCGGTGGGGGGGGCAGTTCTTTGAAACATGGGTCTCACTATGTGGCCCAGGCTGATCTCGAACTCTCAACCCTCCAGTCTCAGCTGCCCAAGTGCTGGGATAACAGACGTTATCCACTATGCTCAGCTCGAGCTGTGGGATTTCTTGCCAGCCTTCTTTCTCCAGCAGTCAGTCACTGACTGTGTCTAATTTGAATCCCGCTATACGTGGACACAGGATGGACGGGGGTGTTTTTGGACATTGGCCCAAATTCCCAAAGCCCGGTACCCTTCGTGAGTCTGTGCCCGTGACCCTGGCCCTCAGTCTCCCTACTCAGGTGCTCTCGGGGTTTTTCAGGCCTTACCATGACCAGCCAAAAGTCTTTGGAAGAATTTTCCAAGGCCTGGTGGATCAGGGCAGAAGGGTTTGTGGACTTTCCTTTGCTGTCACCAAATATTCTGTGTCCCCCCAAATGTCCCCAGGTGCCTCAGCTGAGATGAGCAACAGGTGGCACCTCCAGGCCTGGTGAGACCTCATGCAGGACAGAGTGGGTCCCCTCCTTGAGGCTCAGGCACCCCTGGCAGGGCCCTTGGAGTGTGGACAAGTAGACTGAGTAGTCCACACTCAGCCTGGCACCTAGGGTCTCAGACAGGGGCCCCATGACAGCCCCGTGAGGGTCACAGGGCTTCAAGAAAGCCTGCTGCCCGTGCTGCCCTCAGATCCTGGGGAGCAGCCCCTGTGGGTGGGGCCGAGCTCTGGAATTTTCTTAAGGTCCCCAGCTGATTCCAAAGGGAAGCTGCGGGGTTCCTTTTAGGTATCTCCTTGACTGGGATGGGGGTGACCAGAGAGTGTGACAGCATTATTTCAGGGGAGGGTGGCCCTTGGGTGGGTGGATCAGTCAATGCACTGGGCATTGGTCAATTCACAGAGGCCCAGATACAGCAGGGCAGAGGAAGGTAAAGTCGCCTCTGCTCAAGCGGGGACAATGCCACCACCGGCAGCCCTCCCGGCTGCAGCTCCTGGCACTTCCCGGCCCCCATGGTCCAGGACCCAATTCCCATGAGGAGCTCCGTCATGTGTCTGCTGCTCGC